CGCTGGCAACGTAATTTGACTATTCTACAACCCTGCTGTTCCTGTAGCACGACTGACTCGACGCTAGTAGTCCAGCGGAATTCAGCCTGTTCTTCTCTGCGTCCACTGTTTGTCTCTCAGGCACGCAATGTAACCAGCCTATCTTTTCTTGGTTTCGTAGAAGACAAATTCAATCCACTGTCTTGTCTAATCCTAATCCAATCTAGTCCGTTGTCGACTCCGTGCTTTCGGAACGTGATCTGCATAGTCAAGTTGGACATTTTCGCTGCGTCGCTCTCTGCGTGACCATCAGTTTATTTTCCTCAAATTTAGTAGCAAATCAGCATACAGCACCGTAGGTCATGGAGGGTAGGACGGTTGAATCTAGCAGTTCTTTCTTAGCGTGCGTGAAGTCAAGATACTTTAACAAGATTCAAGCTGCCTTCCTTCCTTGCTTGATTTCCCCATGTAGCGAGTTCGTGCGGTTCGCGCAACGGCCAAGGTGTGTATAGTTGGTGATTGATTTGTGTTCTTCGCCATTCACTTGAACAGAGCCCTCGTGGAAGTGCTATTTCGCACACTTTTCCCTTTGGTAAGGCCAAGCACTAACTCGACCGTAAGAGACATTTTCTGCAACTGCTGGATCACCTGTATAGGCACCACAGTGTTTAGTACGAATATGATACAGTCGCCGCAAACAACAAGTGCATTAGCTGCTATGTATATGATATATCAATTAATGATGACTCAATTTCCAGTACGTAGACACGAGTATGCACTAAGTTCTGGAAGCTTCGATAATTGCATGAAAGGTTGAAAAATACACAGTCGAATTTGCAGAGGTGACACTTGTCAATCAATTGAGCCAAATTGGTGAACTATAGAGAAATCGTTAATGATGAAATCGCAGCTGAAGCACGGATGATAGTAGCAGCTTGCTAAGCACGAGTGCAGAGAGTGTTGGGAAGACCCAGGTTGAGGAGTGGGGCTGACAACGTTTTCTAACGCTGACGACCTACAGTAGCAGATCACTTTTAGACAAAGCAAGGCTGCAACAGCTGGAAGAAGAATATAGCCAAATGAAGTGGGTCACTTTTGGGCATTTTTTTGACATGGAAAAATTCTAAGACCGGATCCCGTGCAGCAAGTTATCGAGGTGCTTATGGACATATATGATCGATGATCAGGTTACGAGACATTCACTTACTATGCACTGATAACAGGCGCTGCGAGAGAGCACACGATGGGAAGTCGAGACCCTTTAGCTTTGGCACTGGTCTCCGCCAAGGCTACGTTACACCATCACTTCTGTTCTTGTTGTACATGGACAGATTGTCTGCGTAGCCAAGGTGACGAGTATATCAGTTTGACGTTTCCTGTTCGCAGACACGATTGTTTTGTTGGTACCTTTTAAAGCTGACGTCCAGCGTTCCGCTGTCGCTGTCTTGAAAAGTTCGCAGCCGAGTGTGACGTGACAGGTATCGGAAAGGATCATTTCCTGTTCGAAAGCGCTTTCTCGTTTCCCTGTTCGCTACGCAGCAGTTGAAGAAATTCACATACCTCCAAGTCGTGCTTTCTAATGATGGAAAATGGGAGGAAGAGATCGACCCTTGAATTGGAATGGCCAGGGCGTTCTGCGTGGTCTAATTCTAACCGTCGAGACTGAGGCAGAGGTCAGTTTGAAGACTAAGCTACCTGTGCTCAAGTAGATTTTCTTCCTATGTTCATCTACGGTAATGAACTTGAGCTATACGAGAAAACAGCTGATTTTTATAGTCGAGGAATCACAGTTACGATGGCTTAGGCTTGTGCTGTGAATGCGTTCAGAAAGGAATGAGAAATACCTATTACCTGCTCAATTAACTTACCGAAGACCTCTGAGACTGTCAAGAATAATCTGGGGTGAATTATGGAAGACTGCTCCAGACTCTGATAATCATCCGCCGAAACTCAATCGCTGGCACAGGATTGGAAGCGTTTGAAATTCTCTCCACCGTGTCTGCCTCTGCGATCCCAAAGTATGAACGGTGCTGACTGATATCTTCTGAAAAACGACGGTTTTCTTTGGAGATATCTTACAAGCGGAAACCTTCAAACGTTCGCAATGTTTTGCTTAAATACACTTAAAATTATACGGGCTAGGAATATAAAGGATCTTATGTCCTATAGAGTCACCATCAGCATGACATAGCATAATAATTTCGTGTCTTCATGAAGTTCCCATATTTGAATCATTCCAAATTCATATGCACTGTATATGCTTGCACTCATGGTGACAAGTCTTAGACGTGTAAATGACAATGTATTAAGTATACAGTGAAACCAACTTGATGTTAAATATATGATAGGATCCACTTACCGAAAAATATTTGCATGCAGCATTATTACTA